AATTCTTCATCTACGGGAATTGCGTTGATTTTGATAGCAATGGTCCAAGTCTTCCTAGAGTCTTCTCGTCACCATCAATATCACGATATAATTTCTACTTCCCGAGAACTTCTTAAGATCAGGCCATTTTTACTACTAGTTTTTTTGCCTTTCGTAGTATTCGTTTTAAAATTATTTTACTTTTATTGTCGTCTTCGTTGCAAATATTTTCGTGCAGTTTATTAATTCTACTACATCGTTTTTTTTTTTTTTTTTAAATTTCACAATTTCTCCTTCAATAAGGGCTCTAATGCTAATCTCTGCGCTTTTCGGAGATTTATGTTCTCCTTGTGACGTACGTTTCTCAAACTAATTAAGTGCTGATCTCTCCATATTTTCCAAAATGTATCCAGAGTTTCTGTTGTACTCGCCCAATATTTGACAAGTTTCTCTTAAGTATTTACTTTTCACTGTCGCGAATTTCAATATCGCAAAGCACCAAAAAAATAATTGTTAACAATGTTGTAATCGTTTAACTAATCTTTCATCTTATTAAAATCCCTAGATTATAAACACGCATGCAAATGTAAGACGAAGTAATGTATAGACGGTGTAATGTCTGTCTGTAAACCATTTTCACGTCTTAACATATATAAGCCATATACTAATACAAAGGAGGCACTCTGGACGAGACACTCAAAATTCAACTGTCCACGGATCACCCTTCATTATTCTTCCTACTTTATACTTAATTTCAGTATTATTATTATATCATATTGTAAGCCACGAATAAAGGAATAAAACCATATTCGTTGACTTCTCGCTACAAAATATCCACTACAAAAACTACTCCGAAATTAATAAAACGAAATTCTCTGAACAAATCCACCAATTTACCATAAAGATTTCGACTATGCCTAACCGAACAACTCTTTCCGTAAGAAAAATTTTTTATAATTTCATAGCAATACGTAAAAAGTTCGTTGTTTTGGCGTCTCTTAATAGACATTATAAGCGTCCTCAGACACAATCCGTAGTTATTGTTTAACTTGATTCTCGATTCTTTCCACGGCCAAGCTACTTGGTGTCTTCCATTATATTTGTTTATATTTCCCCGAAATAGTTTTAAGGCTTCTTCATCATTTTAATTAGGCTATTCTTGTGTACCTATTTTTTCAGATTCAATCGATTTTGGAATGTCGTCATTAATAGGCACTACATTAGTATGATCTTTATTTTGAATAGTGCAACATCCTGTGTGCGTTAATGTTTCGTTAGGATCCTCCAGTTTCACATCGAACTGATTAGATTTCCTTCCATTATATCCTCTTCCTGTCGTAAAAACGATACATTTAAACTGCATTCAAATTCTAATACTTTTAACAAATGTCTGATAACTCATTGTCCAAATGCGAAAAACGCATTTATAAGTAATGTATGTCTAGATCATTTAAGCCATTATGCTAATTCCTTTTTCTCACACAATAAAAACTCTTTGTTAGCAAACCCTTTGTTAACAAAACCCTTTATTAGCAATGTTTCACATCAGTTAAATGCCCTCTGCCAAATATCTGGTCAGTTCAGTTTCTGTATATAAACCAACCATCCTCCATTACAGTTATTCGTTCTACATTTTGGAGTGGTTTTTGATATCATTTTAATGTTTTATAATTATATTATATCTTTCGTTACTCGTTGTTATAATGTTGATTTGTTGGTTTAATTACCCAAGTTTAAGGCAAAATAAAATATCTGGAAGTCAATACATTCCACGACACATCCCGCTGTCACTGGACTCATTATTGTATAAATGAGAACTCAATTTGTAACTTGAACCTTTTCGAGTGAAATAAATTTAAAGAAGTAGTCAATACCAACAATTTAATCGGTTGTTTCCAACTTCTATTTTCTTCTCTAAGTGGACACTGTTTCAAAATGTCTGAGTTGTCATGTTTTATTGATATTATCCTTACTTTACCTGCTAAATAATCGACCACGGTAATTGATATAATGTCGAAATTTAAGGTTCGAGATTTAGGAAAATATTACAAGTCATACTTTGACGCGGAATGAGATTTGAGGATTTTTTTCACTGAACCTTGCAAACTTCACATTCTCATAATAAATTATTTGTAAGTTTAATCGTCTTTGATATACAAGTTGCTTGTGTACACTGTCAAATAAAACTACAACCTTATTTGGGGTATCAGGCATATTTAAGTTAGTAATTTCAACTTTACAAAGAAAAAACACTTCCTTGTTATTTGGTATCCGTTGTTGTAATATTGGACTGATCACTTTTATCGAATTTATCTTCTTGACTGTTATATCTGTCTTGACGTAGTGCCGTGTTATGAATACTCTTGCAACAGAAACATATTCGCTTTATTTCTTTACAGTTGGTTGCTGCATGTCCCAGTTTCGATTGCTGAGCTCCTTTAGTCGTTGTATTCTTTGTTTGAAGATTGGTAGATTAGACATTCGTTGTCTGAATGATCCTAGTTGCAGGGAGGTACAAGATCTTTTAGTTTTACCAGTTTCTTTTACATTCTACCTTGATTTGTAATTGCGTGTCAGAGATAAATCTGTTATCGTTAAAGCTTTTTTTTTTTTTTTTTTTGGAGAAAATCGTGGATTAATTTTAATTTTAGTTGCCTTCGTATTATCGAAAGTTTGGCTTCGTTTAATTTCTCCACTTCTTTGAATCAACTTCGCTAAGAATTGTTTAACGACTGGACCCTTCTTTTGTTGTTATATTTTATCCAGGATCAAAACTGGCAGTTTAGTTTCAATAATAATCTTGATACTTCTTTGTTCAAGATTTTCGCTCACTGCTTCAAACTGTCGGGGTAATCTTTCGATAGCTTCAATCGTTGCTTTCCATTCTCTGCAGTTCGTTGTAGAGCGATTTCTTGATAATGTATGACTGTCCGGATTTCTCATTAAGGACCTTTCTTATAATTTTATAATTCTCAGGAGTTATGCCATAACCCTGATAGCCAGCATAACTTCACCTTTATAGCACCAAATAGTTCAACTTTTGGATATCTGGTATATTTTAAAGTGAACTGGGGCTTCAAAACTACTCTAAAACCCTCTCCTCAGTTTTCGGTTACCCTAAATACAGGTAGTGGTGTTTGAGATAAATTAACTGTTGGACTGAAGGTTTTTTGGATTAGTTCCTGTTTTATTTCACCTTGTTTTAAGCGTTGGAAGGTTAACTCTGAATCATTTTTGTACATAATTAGAGTTCTAACAATTTCTTTATCTTTATTTATTAGGTTTGAAATACCTTTTTAACCATCAACCATTTTGGCCTATTTCCCTTTTTCTTGTTTCTTTGATGGTGATAACTGTTGAGCATGTTCAATCCATTTTGCATTAGCAGTTTCGAGAGTGTGTTGATGTGCTTCTTCTTTGGATAGCATTTGACCCAATGACGTTAGATCCATTTCTTTGCCTTCTTCCATAAAACAATAATATTTTATTATACGCTTTCTTTTTTATACCATACAGTTCTACATTATCAAGTTGAGAAACTAGTCTTCTTCCATTGTGCAAGAATATTTCTCCTTCAGTCAGTGCGAAATTTGATGTTAATTGGTATTTACTTCTAACCATCCATAGAAGTATTGTGTTTCAGTTCTTGTCTATCTTTTAGGAGAAGATTGAAATCAATGCGGTTCCATTCATTTGTTTTCTAACATTCAGATATTTGCATGTTGCGGTAGTAGCTACATGATCTGACACTATCGATAGTGATAATCTGAAAAAGACTTTGATACATATTGCTCGTGTAATGTTTTATAGCTATTCTTATGTGAGTGCGTGTGTGCACATGCAGCTTATGAAGTGTGGCATTCTTATTAACAACTTCACATTTTCATTTTTTAGGAATACAAAACGGTATACCGGAAATCCAGTAGCAGTTGTTCATAGCTATCATCTGTTTTAATATTAACGATATCACAGCTATTAATAATAAAGTCTTCATATTTTCCTTTTTATTGTGACAATTTGTTGGGTGTATTTGAACTGCTTATCATTGGTAGATTTAAGCACAGTGACGCATGATTGAATTCTTTGAAGTTTGTCTTCGAGTAATCTTTTCCTTGTTATATAGAAACCTTCCTTTTGTTCTAATATCATACTTGGTTCCGGTGATTTAAACTCCATTAAATTTATTTCTGTAAGAAGATTGACTAACCTTTCCTTTGCCAGTTGGATGCTTGCGATAATGTTGCTAGACATGGGTCCCGGCTCATGGTACAAAAAATGTCGTGAAAGGTTTGTCGTTGATCAGGAAATTACAAGAATTTGAAGGACTTAATTTGATTGTAGAATAAGTCGTTCAATTAATATAGGCTGCTGATTTTATCGTGGAATCAAGTAAATGGCGTAAATTATGCTAACTTTTATGATACAGCAGTGAGATTGTCGTATGTTTATTTTTATGAAACGTACAATACCAATAATCTGAGTTGTAGAAATAGAAATAAAAAAGGATAATTATTCTTTTCTGGAGTTATTTAGTTGGTAGTAATAATAGTAATAATGAATCCTTGTTTGTTAATGTTGTGTTTATATATGTGTTAAGAATTGGGTGTGTTTACAATAAGATCTTACGATGAATTTGAAATAAGACATTATTATTATTAGGTACCAGTTCTGAAATAAACAAAATTATGAGTTAGATAAAATGATAAGGAATCACATGAAAAATACTCTAAGGAATCAAATTTCTGACAAATAGATTTATGATGCCGCAAGATTGCTTACGATTTAAAAATGAATCACTAGTTTTCCTTTAAATTTATTTTATTACTCTGACTAGAGTTTAGCGAAATTAAAATTTGCGACACTTCTGTATCTGCTAACAACCTTCTTTCTTTTCTATGTATTACATTGTATTGTAATTATTTCTCATCTTTCACTTATCCTTAGGGAAAGAACGAGGTTGATCATAAGCTTATCGCTTTTCTTTACACATTATGCAATATTCACTCTAACTGTTTGCAGCGATGATTATAACACATATGCATGCGCACACAGACACAGGCACCCATGCAAGGAAGTACGTATATACAACCATATCCGCTCATTATTCATTGATACATTTCAATTCTCAGTTGGTTGCATGTAATTATTGTGGGGTAAATTTTATGAGTGAAATATTTTCGACAATATGAAGAGTGCAATTTCATTTAATTGTTAATTTCTTATTTCATTTGATATTTGTTATTTTTATATTTAGCAAAAAGTATTTTACCGCAAATGATTACATATTGTTAACAACTATAATTATTTAGCACTTCAGAATTATCTTACTGAAACGATTAATATTAAAAGTAGTAGTATTGGTGATTAATAATAGTAGATCTGTGCTAAAGAAGTTCTGTTTATCTTTTACAAATATTTCACTTTTTTGTTTTTCTTTAGTATTATATTTATCACAGTAAATTTTATAATCTGATTATTGATGTGTCTGAAATTTAACATGAATAGTGATGATAAAATTTTTACTTATGATTTATTTTTCGTATGCGTTAAAAGATTATTACCCAAAATATTACGGGTAGAGTCGATCACTGGTATCCATTAGATTATGTGTGGATCTGATGAGCTTGTAGATAGCTGTAAAGAATTGAACCGAGTCGACCATTGTTTAGTGAAGATCCATACTCCTTATATAGTTAGAAATTTTCTTAAAAATATTTTAATACTGAATGTAAGTTTAGTTATAAGACGGGATGAATTTACATATGAATTTACCAAATGCTTGTGACGTTTTGACTATTAAATATAAGCTGAAGAAATCTGCATATGAATGGGGTAAATGATTCATTATATTGTTGACCATAAATTTATTTTATTTTTTGTTTTTGGAATGAAATATTTGATTGGAAAATATTCGAAATAAAACAGTCTTTGTAATGCAAATTTCTATATTAGGAACTTAGTTATTCCGTGATATTTCTACAGTGTAACGTAAATTATTTCGATATATTTCTGTATTCTAAAAATACTTCGGTTATTTCAAATTTATAGTATTTATTATGGTCTTTATCGTTTATCATATCTATAGTATAGTCAGGGTAGGTAGGAAATTTCTTGATGCCCATTTTTTCACCATATCAAGCTGATATGCTTTTATGGAAAGCAAATTATTCTAAAATCTACAATTTTACACATTTATGAAAATTATTGATATCAATCATCGTTAACAGATGTATGATAGTGAAAAGTGTTAGCGGATTTAAGCTTTTTGCGTTTTCTGTGTAGCAGATATAAAATCGGTTATTAAGACTTTCCTTTCTTTACATTTAATTGCATTATGTTAATAAGACTTTCAAATGTACATTACTATTAGAAAGTTTAGATTGTCAACAGTATGTATGGGACGAGTGAAATAAGCAGTACTCCAACATTTAACAGTGATGACTGGGAAATAATTTTTGGTAAAGAAGATGAAGTAGACGATACGAAAGACTTGAAGTCAAGCCAGAATGGTGAGCTAGATAATCCAGCTGAAATGGTATCAACAAACAACAACAGCTTTGAAACTGCAACAGTTTATTCCCAACGGTGTGCAATTTTATATAAACCTAGGGCTTGTTTGAATTATTTTAATAAGTTCATAAATTCTCCTTTTTGATAATCCTTCGATAGAATCTTTTACAAAATAACGAATTGGAACGTTTGTATTTTGGAAAAATAAGGTGAAGTGATATTAAATGTCTTTAATTTGGACTTTTTGTATATTATCTGAAGATGTTTGTTTCAGCACCGCCTATTCCTCAACGAATTCCGACGCATCCGCTGATAATTCAGGGATCCTTTCATTAATTCAAAGAACGCAGGATACCGTGCATCCGAAGAAACAAGTGCAGGGTACTGTATCAAGCAGTCAGTTTTCGTTTGCGTTAAATTAGGAAAGAACTAAAAACCTTTATTTCATTAATTGCATGTAATGAATTTCGGGAATCGTACAATGCAGTGGTTCCCGTAACCAGCTGGAAAAGTAATCTTCAAGAATGTATCACACTTTACCACTTATAAATCTTTTTAATGAATAAATTAGCCTCAGTTTTGTCACCCTACTTTTGATAATTCTATTATGAGGGGTCGTCGAGTTATTTTTCACTGTTACTATTCAAGGATGTTATGAAAATGTGCTGAATCATTCAGTTTAACATATTCGTCAATTAAATTGAAAGTATTTTAGACCACATTGTTCGTAGTAGTTGGTATTACAATAAGTTAGTTAAGTTAATTATCTTCCATGTAAGATAGTTTATTCGTAATATTTGAACTGCTATAAATTGATAAGTTGATTATGTTGCAGTGGTTGTAATGGATTTGTGTATGAAACGTGAGCAGAAACTTCGCCTGGAAGGTAATATCATAGAAGCGAATGCATTGAGTACCGTTGGTTTCTCGATTATGAACCTGATTGCGAAAGTGATGGAATTGCTGCAGTTAAATGGTTTCTTTTCATTCCTATTACTACAGAATGAAAGTTCAATGATTGTGATTGGAAAAATGAGGTTTTTGGTTGGTTAGGATTGTGCTACTGGAGTTTGAAATTACGCAGATGTTCTTTGTTTAGAATGCATACATGTTGGGAGTTTGATATTAGAAGCAGTAAAAGCATCAATGAGTAAAGGATCGAATGAATGGGAAAGTTTGATATTATGTGCGGGAAGTATTCATGCACTCATCGATGAAGTACGGATAAAAAGCGCAGGTTTGGATGATGTGGGACAACTGAAAATGATAAGTGAGGCAGAAAAAAATTGGATAAAAAAGAGCTTGCAGCGAAGGTTTATTTATCAAGTTTATCTACTTTTGCTTTCCAATTAGTATAGCGAAAACAATTTATTAAATCTTACACTTTCATTCGTTTTATTTTCGGGAAAAATTTCGAAGAAGACAAAGTTCTCTTGTAATACTTTGTAAACATATCTTGTTAGAACTTTGTGGCAATGTCCTCTGAATAGGCTTTCTGTTAAAACGTCTCTGAGCTATCGTGCTACAGTAAGATACTAGTAGAAGGGCGATAGTTGGTTAGTGTATGTCGTAAAAAACGAATGTTTAAATTACATTCAAATTCTAATACCTTTGTCAGATGTCTGATAAGTCATTCACCAAATAATTTCGCATTTATAAGTAATCTATGTCTAGATCATTTAAGCCATTATGCTAATTCCTTTTTCTCACACAATAAAAAACTCTTTGTTAGCAAACCCTTTGTTAACAAAACCCTTTATTAGCAATGTTTCACATCAGTTAAATGCCCTCTGCCAAATATCTGGTCAGTTCAGTTTCTGTATATAAACCAACCATCCTCCATTACAGTTATTCGTTCTACATTTTGGAGTGGTTTTTGATATCATTTTAATGTTTTATAATTATATTATATTTTTCGTTACTCGTTGTTATAATGTTGATTTGTTGGTTTAATTACCCAAGTTTAAGGCAAAATAAAATATCTGGAAGTCAATACATTCCACGACAGTGTGGTTAGATGATAGCATAATGTCATTTTTCGATATCTCAGCTATATTTGCATTACTTTATAAAATAACTTTACATTACAAAAATTGTTAAGATTTGTTGTTGATTTTCTTGACAAATCTATGTATGATTTAGCTGGCGAAGGAAAGGAGAAAACGAAAACTGGATGCTGTGCTTATAAGAAAACAAGAAGAAGCCAACGAAATGCGCAAACGTCGTCACGCGATGCAACAAACTGAAGCACACTCTGTTTTCACTCCTTCAATAACTTATCAATACACAGAAACTTCCGATGTAATCATTAAAGGATTTTATTGTTTAAATTTGCCTGAAAATGGCCATAACTGTCTTTATTTTCTTCTGTGTGATATACATTTTCGCATAATATTAATTTAAACAAATGCAAGTATAACTTGTTTGAAATTGTTTTTTACTTTAATTAAATATTTTCAGCAAGCTAGTGATGCTATATTAATAATGGCTGCAAATAAATATAAACTTCGTAAGGAAGAACGACAAAAACAAATTGAAAGGAAATCTCAGGCCAATGATGAGTGCAGATCATCTCAGTCAAATGTTTTACATACGAATCTTCAAGTTATCAATGGTTTTCAAATATTGCAACAAAATTTAGTCATGACAGTTGATATTCCTTTTTAATCTATTACAAAGAATGTGGAAAACTAGTATGTGGTAGAACTTTTCAATCATAGCTCAATAGTAGCAGATTGTCACTAGTTTGGTCTTTTAATTTTCCGCTTTTTTTTTTGTAATAGATTCGAAATTAATTAGCAGCTTTAAATTGAATACCTACGGAATTGGTATGTCTTTTAAATAATTTCAATGTGGCGGTGAAACATTTGGAAAATAAGCTTGAAGACATTCTAGAACAGTAATTGAATAGTCCAGATACTTATCAATCACGTTTTAACTAAAAACCAGGTCTTTGCTATAAATTGAATTAATATTTTAGTCATACCTAACTTGCCTGATGCTAGGAGCTTCACTGGTCCAATAAGTGCAGAAGCTTTAATGGAATGCGAAGAGTCTGATTTGAGCAATTCAATTACTTTACCATCATTTCCGGTTTGTTGTAAATATTTATTTGATGTCGTTATTTTTATTAAAAATTAAGGTTTTTTCTTAAATCTGCAGTTGACTTTATTCTAGATAAGACGCAACAAATCACAGTGGCTTAAGTGACACTGAACTGTTATTTAGCTTTATTTCTTTCCCTTGGACTTCATAAGTTCCGGTACGGAAAATTTTTTTTTGTTTTCATGCTGACTGATGAACATTCAGTCAAGAAATTTGGTTTAAAATGCCATGTCAATGAAGTGAAGAATTTTGAATCATACATTACTAAATATGAACATCGTTAAAGGTGCAAGAAGCTGGTAATCAACACTGTATACAACAACCACATTCGTTTGTATTATCGGCAAAAGGAGAGCCTAGGAACCGTCATATATCAAGTCATATTCGAAATAATGTTAGCGATTCTTTTAATTAATGTGCCTTATAACTGCTTATTCATAATTTATTCTGAAATTCTTTGTCAACTCTTTATCGCTAACCGTATTTATTGTCGTTTAATTCTAAAATTTCTTTAAGAATCATATTTCATCTCAACTTCGTTTGTTTCGATCTGGTAGCTGTTTTTATAGCAATTTTCAAAGGCTGTCGGTTACTTATTCATCGAATAATCGAAGTTTTTTGCACAAATATCTCTTAATTGATGTAAATCTCAGGAGTAGCTTTGATTAATTATTAAAATTTTGCTTAACTTATTATAAAGTTTATTATTATTAATTACTAAGGTTTTGCTTAATTTATAATTAAAAACTTATTATTAGTTAACTTATTATAAAGTTTTTTTCATGGACTGAGGTCTTTTACTTCAAAATTGTAATTCCTTTTTTTTTTTTTTTTTTTTTTTACACCTAGGGGATGAACTAGAATCTTGCTAATTCAGGAGATATATTATTCTTTTGGTCTTGAAGAAAGCATTTTTTTAGTTTTCTGTAATTGGAAAAACTAACCGTCTGAATTCCACCAATAAAATTCCAAATCAGTCAATGACATCTCCATACTCGTCAACTGCTGTCAATATCTCAAGCCCAGCTGGAATATCTCAGCTAAATATCAATTCAGCAAGTACTACGAATCCAGTTAAAACAAAGTAGGTCCAATCAGCAACTATGTCAGAATCTTCCTAGTCATGCTTCATGGATAATGCTTGATTTTTTTCATTATTTTCAGATTTTGCTGTTATTTTTTCCAAAAAATGTTTTTTCTTGTAGTACAATGCATGAAATTTTAGGATTGTAACTCAGTCTGCTCAAAAATATGATAATGTGAGTTTTGTGAAAATTCGGAAAGTTGGTGCAAAGACAAATGAAAATACCAACAAAAAATTGCAATCAGTGAAAAAGTTTGTTCACTCTACAGTTTAGCTTTTCTTGTTCATGTGTATTAGAAAATTAAAAATTCAATTAAAAAAATTTAATCTCTTTCTCACTTGAGCTATTCCTGTTTTGTATGATATGAATACTGAATGTATTAGGGTATATCTGATTAATACATAAGACGATTTGTTTTAGAAGTGTATTTTTTGTTGGCGAGGATAAATATTCTATAATTCAAGTATCGAATAATCCAAATTCAACAACGGTACGTTTCTCCATGTTATGACCACTAGTGTTGTATTTTTAGAAATTACTTTTCTTAAATCCATTTCAGGATGGTATGAATATTATCGGATTTCATGACTATCGCAAGAAGTATCCACGGGGATCAGCAATTATGCCAGATGTAAATGACTGAAGTATTTTTTCCTCGAAAAGCTTATGCTAAATACTTTAGATACATGCAAATTCTTCCATGCTTTATGTAGGAAACATTAATAAGAAATACCGTTTCTTTAACTTTAGGTTCTTAAATGAAGGTAGGAGAATAACAATAAGATTCTAACACTTGTATTTAGGAAATCTGACTGATAATGGTCACTTTACCCTTTCGTTTTATTTTGATTCCCTTCTGTTTTTCATCATTATTCTCTTTAAATAGAAAAAAAAAAGAAAAAAAAAGTGCATCATTAATAAATTAGAATATTGGTCATGTACATGTACAAGGATTATTCAGAACATCTTTGGTGGATAATACTTTAATCATTCTAAGTATTATGCAACACCGAAACAAGGGTAAGATTCGTAAAGCGTTAGAGCAATGTTCTCATTGTTCTTTTATTGGGTTTACTAGAAGCAGTATTCTTTAACAATCTTGAAATTGAGTCGGGAAGCAGACATTTTTTGACCAATTTCAAGATTTTAGTGGAATAAGCCAATAATTTTTCGCTCTGTATTTCTTACTGCATATATTTCAGGAAGAGAAAAGAAAGAGAGTGGAAAACCTACCTCCTCGTGAATACGATTTTTTCGTAAGTTTGTTGTTGATTGGATGATAAAATAAAGATATGTTAAGGAAAGATACGAAAAGAATAAATGGTTATATTTAGACTTCAAATATTCATGCAGTACCGGTATTTTCTGATCGTTTTTTCTTTTTTTGTAATCTTCGGGATGTTCTTTTCTTTATCATTAATACAGAAAAAAGAAAAAAAAGCTTTTAACGTTTGGAAAGCTAATTAGAATATAGTACAATGGGAAATTTCCAAAATTATATTGTTTTTTTGCTGATAAGTGATGAGTGATAAGAAGAGCAATGCATTTTGAAAGAGTGCTTCATGAAATATTATTTCTCTTTAGCGTTTCTTTTACAGCTTAAATCGACTACATCACAATCAATTGATATCGTTAATGCACGTTCTTTCTGTGAAAGCTGCGAATTTACACGTGGTAATATACGTAACTGGTTAGTTTCTCTTTTTTATGATGAAAAATGTATTTTTCGTATAATACTTTAAATCACTTTTTTTCTCTTTTTCTATTCAGGTTTATTGTTGGTTCAAGGTTTGAACGTTTGAATGGGAGTGTTTTTGGTGTGAAAAAAAGTGGTTGTCCGAAAACCCATCTATCTCGTGCCAATTATCCTCCAATACATTTCAGGTTATTTTTTGTTACCTTATAGAATTGGCAAATACTTCGATAGTTTTTTGTTTTATTATTGTAATATATTGTGCTGTCGCAAAGTATTGGTTGATAATTATTATTGATTAAAGCTGATCAATTTAGAATTTTGTCTGACGCTTTGACACGTATTTCCATCGACGTTGCTGGACTGAAAATTTTCTTGGCTGTTGGTGAGGATTGGATTGTAAAAAAGTCAATAATGCCCGAGGAGTTTACATCATTTATAAGAAAATTTGCCGTAAGGCTATTCTTCTTGTTCTGTTTTTATCTATTTCATATATAAAGTTTGTTTCTTAAATTAACCCAACGTGTAAGGATTTGTTTAAATAATTTTCTCTTAAATAAATTTAGTTTATTTCCAGTATTTCACTTAGCTTAGATCGGAAATGATATAGAACTCTGTATACGTTGTTTTCAGTGTCTTGGAACCTTTGAAACATTCGACGTTTAATCCATTTTCTTCTATTGAAACTTATCAAAACTTATTCCCATGTTTTCAGAATGTTTTACACGGGCTATATGTTAAGCAGTACACACTAGAGCGTACAAAAGAAGTGGAATTCACGGATGACTTAGAAAAAATCAAAAGTGATTATGCCTTTGTCGAAATGCCAACTATTATATTATTCACAATTCCTGCAGCAAGTTTTCCATCTTTTCTTGCTTTTTCATAACTTACAATCTAAAATATGCGAGACGGGAAAAAATAAATTGAAATAAATTAAAAGATCTTTTCTATTGTTGATAGTATCTTATATCAAAAAAAGTTTCCAATAAAGTAATTTAAATAAAATATTAATAAGAATCTTTGGTGGATGATACCCATATTTAAATTTTAGAGAAGTGATTCTGATGCGGAAATGAAGTGTAGTTTTTACACAGTGCAATTACAGAATTGGTTCAAAGTTGGGATGCAACTTGGGAAAAAGTATTTTTTTAAAACCTTTACTTTTTGTCAGGTTTAACCAAAATAAATTCATAAAAAGTTATAATCTATATGATACATGCAGTATTCTTTTTCGAAAAATCGGAAAATGAAAAAAAAAAAGACTTGTTCATTTTAGTTTCTACTGTCATAATGCTACAAATCAATGCATAGAATTGAAATTAATTGATTGGCGACAACTATGTATTAATGAAAATGCAAACAGTAACAGCAGCATGATTACTGTTTTAATGAAGCATTTAATGGAAGAATGGGGTATATGTATGACACCCAGCAATCGTTCCTAATTTCTAACACCGTTCAGATTCTCTACTTTTCATTACGATCTCTTTCGAATGTATTAAACTCAATGATCTCATATTTTCAACAGTAATCTCCCTGGAAATCTTTTCAGTCTTTCTTTTCAAAGAAATGCAAGTAATAATAGCAGCATGATTATTTCAATAAAATGAACCATTCAATAAAAAAATAGGGTGTATATACGATAAATTTCTTATTGAATACGGTTAATCTCTTGTCGATCATAAATCAATAAATGCTTAATTGATTTATGATCGATGAAAGTGAAAAACTGTTTTTAATATGTTGAATGTTTCAATTGATTTTCATTTCATTTTGATTACCTATGGTTACATTTAAAATACTACAGGGTATTTAATTAAATAATTTGTTTTTCATGTTTGACTACCGCCTGATTTGCATTTAAAAATCAATAGAAATTTGATTAAGTGATTTCGCATTTCTTTGAAAAATTGATTCTACAGCTGTTTCATTTGTCACGCCGTTTTGTAACGCACTAGGTAATGGATAAATAGGTCTTATGTGATGTTCTATTAAATCACTGACGGTTAATTATATAAGTTATGGATACAAAGCGGGCAGATCTGAACAGAAATGGTCATGAGATAGTTTTGGAGCTTCCACAACGAAAAACGGCGAAAAAGTATTTTTAATGCATCATTCGGTCAGCTAAGTTTGCTCATCCGTATGTTGAAATGAATTATTTCTTTGTCTTTTTTTCTTATAATCTCATTATCATGAGGTTACAAGAAAAATTTCATTATCATGAAATATTTTCTAGTGAATATTCAATGTAGATGCAAACTACATAAATTATCAAATTCCATTCAGCTTGACAATTATATAGTTTATTATTAAATTCAACACTTAATTGGGTCTGATTAAGATTTAAAAAATCTATTTCTTAAATCGATTAAATAATCTCGGTTAAGATTTCTGTTTCTCTTTGCTTCTGCTTACTTTAAGAGAAACGAAAGATGAACTTTTAAAATTTATATGGGACTGTTTTGAAAAGAGAGAAATCCTCTGAGTATGAAGCATTGGCGGAAAGAAGAAATATGCAATCAAAACGGATGTTTTGTTTATTTTTCTCTTCTATCATTAAATTGTGCACAATTATGCACTTGATTGTTGTTTTTTTTGAACAATTGATTAGCAGTTGAAATTATTCTCATGATTAAGTTGGCTGCAATGTTTGTTTACATTGTTTAATAATGTGTGCTGGAATATTCGGTAAGTGTCCTTGTGATTTCCGTTTTGAATCGAGAATAGTTTACAACAGTTTTTTGGCTCATTTTTAATATTTGTAAAATATTATTCAATTCTTAATTAACTTGAATATGTAAGTTATCAGTGTTTTCATACTACAGTGAAATATTTCGATAAAGATTTGAATTTCTGATCATAATGTATGAATAATTTTTTTTTTGCCATAATAGAAACTAAGTTTAAAATAACTTCTTCTTTTCCATCAGGTAATGGAGTTTTTTTATAGTTCCGAAGTGCTTTTTTTGTTTTTGTTTTGTTTCAGTTCAAATATCAAATATGAATAAATCTTTCTTATTGTTTAATATACAACTGAAATTATGATCAAGTGTTTGAATTACTGGGAGATGTACGTCTGATCAGTCGATGAGCTTGACGGGAATGGACGAGCCAGTGAAGTATCGTACACGCAATGCAAGAAATATTGAAAGGAGAAGAAATTTTCAAGTATGTTCACGATTGTATGCAGTATGAAGAGTTGCATTCACTTATTTGAATATCAAGCGAAAACATGTTAATAATGTTTAAATTTCTCCCTGATTCAAATGAGTTGTTTCATGTTTATGTTGAGAAAGTACGGTTCCAATAGGTCTGTTCAAATGCAAGTGCAAATATATAGCTGTTGGGGTGCTTTCCTTTTTTGAAGCTACCAAACAGTTGTAATTTTTGGAAAATTTTATTCCAAAACACCCGTAGCCCAATAAACCGTCATAATGCTCGACAGAAAAATAAAAATGACACTATTGATTTTGGAAACTTTTTAAAACTAAAAATAAAAGATCAGGTGTGAAGTTAATCGAAGAGAAGAATGGTAGCCGAGATGACTATTTCGCAGTGGCTAGTAAGCATATGTCAGAAGTCATATAAAAAGTAGATTTTATTTAATTGGGATTTGAGAATTAATTGGAAGAGAATATTAAAATTTGACAAACTTTCCTATTTCTACAGGAAATTAAAGATTTGGATAATCGAATAATTTCTTTTGCTCTATTGAAACCACTGCAATGGATAGACTAATATTGTTATTACATCAATTTTAGCAAAATTTGATTACTAAGAAATCTAAACTATTCAATGTTTTACAAAATTTAAATTTTCTAATCTATTTTCCAACTTAGCAGAAAAGAAAATCCCAAATGCCATGCTTTAAGTTAACCAAATTTTAAATTAAAAAATAATATATCCAACAACTGGATGAAATAATACAATGTAGTAAAATTTAAAGTATTATTTTCTCTGACTCTACAAATTTTAATGTGTCTTTATTAACAGATACATATAAAAAGAATGTATATAAAGGAAGGTAAACGAGGAGAAAGAAGTAAAATTAAAGGTCATTCAGCAAATAGAATCACTTGTCAAAGGGATGATCAATTGAATGTGTATACATTACATATATATATATATCTTTTCAAAATGTGCACCAAAGCATGACTAATGCTAACAAAAATAAGTGAAACTAAGGAAATAACTGCTATGTGTAAAAAATTCAAGCAGAACAATTAAGTCATTTATATTAAATTACCAATAAAAAGAAAACCGTTTACATAAGAAAGAAACTGATTATTAAAATATATGACATAATAATTGAAACAGTGACCTAAGCAGTGGAATTGAGTTATAAGGGCGAAGTAAAAAATTAAAAACAAAAATCTGGAGACTATCAATAGTGATTTAGTTAGATAACAAGGAAATAGAAAAGCTGTCTGTCACCTTATATTATGGGAATTGATTTGTAACATTAGGCCAGTTAACACAGTACATTTGGTTTAGGACAAAGAAGGTTAGTGAACAAACAGTTGACAACTTTCTAACAATCGAATCTATGTTTGGCTGTAAGATCGGAAGATCTTATGGGAACAATTTTCGACACATTAAGGAGCATACATATTCTTTGACGTAAATGAACTCAGCTATTTATACTTGGCATTTAAAACTGAAATAGTTTTTATACATGTCTAAGGAATATTCAAATAAGATTAGACCTATAGATTTAACAGTTAGCTTTACTAAATTTGCACATTTAATAATAGTATGTGGCTTTATCAAAAAGTTTGTTTCATCTATTTTTTTTTAAGAAAATAATAAAGATTTATCGAAAAAAAAATCAGAAACATCTATTTAATACAAACAGTAGTTAAATTGAAATATTTTTGATAACATTAAAAGCAGTCTTAGTTTTACAAATAATTGGTTATATTCAATTGTCTACACATGCACTATACTATTAGGATCACAATAAAACTGATGAAATTATCAAAAAGTACATGCGACTATTACTTTAATCAGATTCGTAAAACTTTGACTATTTTTAATGTTACTAACATTTTCAAACCAGAGACTATCAAATTCAATAGAGGAACAATAAATTTAAGATTAGACGAATTTTAATGCAAAATTGGGACTATTGGCTTACAACCAAGAAGTATTAATCCAGTATTTCACCAAAAAGAGGTGAAATACAGTGGCGACTAATCAACGGAAAAAGAAAAAAAGTTAGTAGAACAAGCAGAGACACAAAATCTACTAATTTTATTTGTATTTGCTTTTATTTTGTAATAATATGCCTGGAGAGTCATTGTAGATAGGACCGAATTTTTTCTGTAATATATCGAAAAACATTAGTAAAAGAAATTGAATTTTGATTGAACTATTTTTGATTAGCTTTTATTTTTCATAATATTAAATAAGAGATTGGCTTGCAATATCATTTCTTTAAATCAGTTTTGCCAAGAATTGTCTTGATTTAAAGACTTACAATACTTCTTGTTCCTCTCTTTGCTGGGCAGTTCATTTTCAATGATAATTTCATTGCTTAAGATTTAAAAGCTTCAGTATTGGGCTTTTTTTATTACGAAGAAATACAAAGATTTATTATAGCAGAAAGTCAACAAAGAGGACTAGTAAAAAAGTATTTATTTTTTTGTGGAACTAGCATATGTTTTTTGGATAATGGTCGTTGGTTGTGTTTATGTAAAATGCGAGTGGTTTACAATATTTTTATTCACCCCATCGAATGCAGAAATAGCTATGTGAACAAAAATTATGCTAAGATTGACATCTAATATATAAACTCTCGGTATGGACAACGATGGGAATTTAATTAAATTTAAGATAAATAAAGAAAGAAGATGAGAAAATGACTAAATGAGAAATGAGAAATTAGTTAAATGATTTATTTATCTTGATTTGACCCCTTTATGGGTACATGTAATAAAGTTTGAACGATTTTTATACGAAATTATTTTATTATTGTAGTTGATTTCGAGATTTGCGACAATCGAAATTCGTGATACATTGATTCATAATTTGAATTCATTTTTGGTTTGACAATGTCACCTTGCCAGTTAATGAAGCTAACTGTTTTGTGCAATATTCGTATGGTTGTTTTGATAAAATGTCCATTTCATTCATTGAATCAAAAAGTGTTAAAATTCTTGCAATAATCGTGTTTATCAGTTTTTGTTACTCACTTCATTATTTAAAGACAGTTTTTGACACTAAAATAGTGCAATTATGGATTTACGAAATAACGAAATAACTATTAAAGCTTTGTACAGCAAATCTGAATTTCAATTAAACTGCTGAGAATCAAAGTTACAACTTAAATAATACGAGTAAGATATTTCATTTTTAAAGTATTTTATTTTGACGGTTGAACTAGCGCTGCTAAATTTGCTTTTTAATTGGAAAGGCAATGTGATGAGATTATATTGTATTT